CAACATCACGAATAATGTAATATAATAACAATATAATTCAAACTCATCTCAATATTAGGACTATTTTATAATCTTGATACTAATCTCAACCGTAATGTAACATCAGAAATAATGTAATAAAACAATATAATTCAAACTAATCTCAATCAAAGGACTATTTTATAATGTTGCAGCATGAATCTTAATGTAACAATATCAGTAATAATGTAATGTAACAATATAATCAAAACTAATATCAATAATATAATATAATATAATAATATAATATAATAAAAGCCGTGGGGACATGGTGGTGGGGTATAAATAAAGTTATTATTAATTATTAATTATTATTATTATTAATAATAATAATAATATAATGCAAACTCATCTCAATATTAAGACTATTTTAGAATAATGACAATAATGCCATCTCAATAGTAATAATATTAGGAATAATGAAATATAATAATATAATTCAAACTTATCTCAATATTAAGATGACAATAATGCAATCCCAATAGTAACAATATCAGGAATAATGTAATATAATAATATAATTCAAACTCATCTCAATATTAAGACTATTTTAGAATAACGACAATAATGCCATCTCAACAGTACTAATATCAGTAATAATGTAATATAATAACAATATAATTCAAACTCATCTCAATATTAAGATGACAATAATGCAATCCCAATAGTAACAACATCAGGAATAATGTAATATAATAATATAATTCAAACTTATCTCAATATTAGGACTATTTTATAATAATGACAATAATGCCGTCTCAATAGTACTAATATCACTAATAATGTAATATAATAACAATATAATTCAAACTCATCTCAATATTAAGATGACAATAATGCAATCCCAATAGTAACAATATCAGGAATAATGTAATATATTAACAATATAATTCAATCTCAATATTAAGACTATTTTACAATAACGACAATAAAGCATCTCAATAGTAATAACATCAGGAATAATGTAATATAATAGCAATATAATTCAAACTCATCTCAATATTAAGATGACAATAATGCCATCTCAATAGTAACAATGTCAGGAATAATGTAGTATATTAACAATATAATTCAAACTCAATAAGAGGACTATTTTAGAATAACAATAATGCCTTCTCAATAGTATTAATATCAGGAATAATGTAATATAATTCAAACTCATCTCAATAATAGGACTATTTTGTAATAACGACAATAATGCCATCTCAATAGTAATAACATCAAGAATAATGTAATATAATAATATAATTCAAACTCATCTCAATATTAAGACTATTTTAGAATAATGACCATAATTCAATCTCAATAGTAATAATATCAGGAATAATGTAATATAATAACAATATTAATATAATATAATATAATATAATATAATAATATAAAATAATAAAAGCCGTGGGACATGGTGGTAGGGTATAAATAAAGTTTTATTATTATTATTATTATTATTATTATTATTATTATTATTAATAATAATATAACGCAAACTCATCTTAATATTAAGACTATTTTATAATAACAACAATAATGCAATCTCAATAGTAATAACATCAGGAATAATGAAATATAATAATATAATTCAAACTTATCTCAATATTAGGACTATTTTAGAATAACAACAATAATGCCATCTCAATAGTAATAACATCAGAAATAATGTAATATAATAACAATATAATTCAAACTCATCTCAATATTAGGACTATTTTAGAATAACGACAATAATGCATCTCAATAGTAATAACATCAGGAATAATGTAATATAATAACAATATTAATATAATATAATAATATAATATAATAAAAGCCGTGGGGACATGGTGGGGGGTATAAATAAAGTATTATTATTATTATTATTATTATTAATAATAATATTAATATAATTCAAACTCATCTTAAAAATAGGACTATTTTAGAATAATGACAATAATGCAATCTCAATAGTAATAATATCAGTAATAATATAATATAATAACAATATATTTCGAACTCATATCAATATTATGACTATTTTGTAATCTTGATACGAATGTCATCTCAATCGTAATGTAACATCAGAAATAATGTAATAAAACAATATAATTCAAACTAATATCAATCGGAGGACTATTTTATAATGTTGCAGCATGAATCTTAATGTAATAATATCAATAATAATGTAATTTAACAATATAATCGAAACTAATATCAATAATAGGACTAATTTATTATCATGATAATAATATTATTGATCTGCAAACTAATATCAATCGTAGGACTACTTTATAATCTTTCAACATCAATAATAATGTAATAATATCAATAATAATGTAATAATATCAATAATAATGTAATATAACAATATAATCCAAACTAATATCAATAATAGGACTAATTTATTATCATGATAATAATATTATTGATCTGCAAACTAATATCAATCGTAGGACTACTTTATAATCATGCAAAATCAATATTAATGTAATAATATCAATAATAATGTAATAAAACGATATAATGCAAACTAGTATCAATAATAGCTCTATTTTTATAATCCTGATAACAATGTAATATCCATAATAATATACTATTATTGATATGCAAACTAATATCAATAATAGGACTATTTTGTAATCATGCATGCAACATCAATATTAATGTAATAATATCAATAATAATGTAATATAACAATATAATTCAAACTAATATCAATCATAGGACTATTTTATAACAACGGTAATAATGTGATGTCAATAGTAATGCACTCTCAGTAATAAGTTAATATCAATAATGTAATATAACAACGATATAATGCAAACTAATATCAATAATAGGACTATTTTATAATGATACTAATGTGATCTCAATAGTAATGCAATATCAGTACTAATGTAGTAAGTTAATATCAATAGTAATGTAATATAATATAATATAATTCAAACTAATATCAATAATAGGACTATTTTATAATCATGATAATAATAATGTAATATCAATAATAATGTGATAAGTTAATATCAGTAATAATGTAACATAACCACAACATAATGAAAACTAATATAAATAATAGAACTATTTTATAATGACGATAAGAATGTGATCTTAATGGAATAGTAATGTAATATGACAACAATATATTTCAAACTAATATCAATAATAGTACTATTTTATAATCATGATAATAATAATGGACTAATATCAATAATTTAAAAATATATAGAATTATATATATATTACATTATTATTGATACGAAATACTACTATTATTGATATTATTGTTTCAAATTACATCAATTTATGACAGCCAGGTAATGTCAATAATAATGTGATATATATTTTCTAATAACAACAATAATGTTGCTATTAGAATAATGAGGCAATATAGAAATATAATTTAAAATAATAAGACAAATAATAAAATAATACTATTTTAGAAGAACGCGTAATAATGTAATGTAATATCAATATATAATCTATAATATCTATAATGTATATCTATAATATCAATTATAGATATAATATGAATAGTAATGCAATACAATATCATCAATTGTAATGTAATATAATATCAATAGTAATGTAATATAATAAGAATATAATTGAAAATAATAATATCAATGATGGTCCTCTTTTATAACAACATATGTAATAATATAATATAGTATCAATGATAATGTAATAGAATAACAATATAATTTGAAATAATAATATCAACTGCAGTAATATTTCATAATAACAACAATAATAATTTAAAATAATAATATAAATAATGCCACATTTAATAATCACCACCACAACAGCCACAACAATAATGTTCTTGCAGGATCGGGACCCAAATAATCATAAAATATTGATAAAAATAATAATATCAAAGCAGCTCACAGCCATAAACATACATACATATATACATACAATTTAAGATGATAGAATATTTTTCATACTATTTAAAATATTGCTTCTTCTTCTTTATTATTATTATTTTTATTATGATTTCTATTTAAGTTGCTATTTTTATTATTTTATTTTTTATGTATTACTGCCTATGATTAGGATTTCTATTTAAGTTGCTATTATTTTTATTATTTTATATTTATTTATTATTGTCTATAATTAGGATTTCTATTTAGTTTGCTATTTTTATTTTTTTATTATTTTATATTTATTTATTATTGTCTATGATTATGATTTCTATTTAAGTTGCTATTTTTTATTTTTTATTATTTTTATGTATTATTGTCTATGATTAGGGTTTCCATTTAAGTTGCTATTTTTAATTAGTTATGATTTTATTTTTTATGCATTATTATCTATGATTAGGATTTCTATTTAGATTGCTATTTATTATTATTTTTTATGTATTATTGTCTATAATTAGGATTTCTATTTAAGTTGCTTTTTTATTCTTTTATTATTATTTATTTATTATTGTCTATAATTAGGATTTCTATTTAAGTTGCTTTTTTATTCTTTTATTATTATTTATTTATTATTTATAATTAGGATTTCTATTTAAGTTGCTTTTTTATTCTTTTATTATTATTTATTTATTATTGTCTATGATTAGGATTTCTATTTAAGTTGCTATTATTTTTATTCTTTTATTCTTTATTTATTATTGTCTATAATTAGGGTTTCTATTAAGGTTGCTATTTTTAATTATTTATGATGTTATTATTTTTATGTATTTGTGTATGATTAGGATTTCTATTTACATTGCTATTCTTAATGTATTATTGTCTATGATTAGGATTTCCATTTAAGTTGCTATTTTTAATGATTTATGACTTTATTTCTTTATGTATGATTGCCTATGATTAGGATTTCCATTTAGCTTGCAATTTCTCTGCTTTCCCCAAAGAACCCCAAAACCAACACCTTGCAGACACTCCAAACTTCTGCTTGCAAGCCACCCCATTGCAAGGGACCCCCCCCCCCCAAAAAAAAAACTCCCCCCAAAGTATCCAGGAAAGAAGAAGACTCAGAATCCGGAGGCTGGCACTTACTTTTGGGGGGGTCCCCCATGGCCCCCAGGAAAGTGAATGGGAAGAGGATATCCACCATGCAGAAGAAAGGCTGGAGGTGCAAGGGGAGAAAGAGGAGGAGGAGGATGCAGGCAATGCAATGCAAAGAGGAGAAGGTCCCCCTCTCTCTGTCTCTCTCTCTCTCTCTCTCCCTCTGAGTGAGTGAGTGAGTGAGTGTCTCAAGGCTGACTCCCTCCTCCAGCCCGGGAGCCCTGGATGTCCCATACGCAGCATGACGTCAGCAGGGAGGGGACCACCCACTTGGGAGGGGGCGGGGCTTGCCAGGCGAGGGGGGAACCCAGGCTGTGACGTCAGAGGCCCGGCAGGGGAAGGCGGGCGCTGATTGGACGCCAAGGGAACAATGGACCCTCACAAGGAGGGAAAGGGAGGGGAAGGAGGAGGAGAAGGAGTTCCAGCTCCTTCTCCATCCAAGGCTCTTGGGGCAAATTATTATTATTATTATTACTATTATTATTATTATTATTATTCTGCACCCATCTCTCTATTTTCCTATCTCCTTCTCTCCAATTATTATTATTATTATTCCTATTATTCCTATTATTATTATTATTATTATTATTATTATGCACCCATCTCTCTATTTTCCTATCTCCTTCTCTCCAATTATTATTATTATTATTCCTATTATTCCTATTATTATTATTATTATTATTATTATTATGCACCCATCTCTCTATTTTTCTATCTACTTCTCTCTAATTATTACTATTATTATTATTATTATTATTATTATTATTATTATTATTATTATTATTATTTCTACCCTGCTTTTCCTCTCCAAAAGGAAACATTTATTATTATCTACTTCTCTCTAATTATTACTATTATTATTATTATTATTATTATTATTATTATTATTATTCTGCACCCATCTCTCTATTTTTCTATCTCCTTCTCTCTAATTATTATTATTATTATTATTATTATTATTATTATTATTATTATTCTGCACCCATCTCTCTATTTTTCTATCTCCTTCTCTCTAATTATTACTATTATTATTATTATTATTATTATTATTATTATTATTCTGCACCCATCTCTCTATTTTTCTATCTCCTTCTCTCTAATTATTACTATTATTATTATTATTATTATTATTATTCTGCACCCATCTCTCTATTTTTCTATCTCCTTCTCTCTAATTATTACTATTACTATTACTATTATTATTATTATTATTATTATTATTCTGCACCCATCTCTCTATTTTTCTATCTCCTTCTCTCTAATTATTACTATTATTATTATTATTATTATTATTATTATTATTATTATTCTGCACCCATCTCTCTATTTTTCTATCTCTTTCTCTCTAATTATTACTATTATTATTATTATTATTATTATTATTATTATTATTCTGCACCCATCTCTCTATTTTTCTATCTCCTTCTCTCTAATTATTACTATTATTATTATTATTATTATTATTATTATTATTATTATTCTGCACCCATCTCTCTATTTTTCTATCTCCTTCTCTCTAATTATTACTATTATTATTATTATTATTATTATTATTATTATTATTATTCTGCACCCATCTCTCTATTTTTCTATCTCCTTCTCTCTAATTATTACTATTATTATTATTATTATTATTATTATTATTATTATTATTCTGCACCCATCTCTCTATTTTTCTATCTCCTTCTCTCTAATTATTACTATTATTATTATTATTATTATTATTATTATTATTATTATTATTATTATTACTATTATTACTATTATTATTATTCTGCACCCATCTCTCTAGTTTTCTATCTCAGAAACCAATATTGTACTTGTTTATCTACCTGTGAAACCTCTCTATTGTCTCACCTGTCTTTCTCATGGAACTTGTTTACCTGTTTCTGTATTATGCTGTGGTCAACCTTCCCTCTTTCTTTCTCTCCTTCTTTCCCTCCTTCCTTCACTCCCTCCTTCCTTCCCTCCCATCTTTCCTTCTCCTCTTCCTTCTCTATCTCTTTCCTTCCTTCTCCCTTTTTCTTTCTCTTCTGCTGTCTCTCTTTCCTTCCCTCCCTCTTTCTCTACATCTTCCCCCTTCCTTCACTCCCTCTTTCCTTCCTTCTTTCCCTTCTTTCCTTCTCTCCTTCCTTCCTTCTCTAACTTTCCTTCCTTCCCCTTTTTCTTTCACTCCCTCTTTCTCTCCTTTCTTCCCTCTCTCCCTCTTTCCTTCCTTCTTTCCCTTTTTCTTTCCTCTCTCCTTCTTCCTCTCTTCCTTCTTTCCTTCCCTCCCTTTTTCTTTCCCTCTTTTCTCTCCTTCTTCCTCTCCCTCTTTCCTTCCTTCTTTCCCTTTTTTCTTCCTTCTTTCCTTCCTTCTTTCCCTTTTTTCTTTCCTTCTCTCCTTCCTTCCTTCTCTAACTTTCTTTCCTTCCCCCTTTTTCTTTCACTCCTTCTTTCTCTCCTTTCTTCCTTCTCTCCCTCTTTCCTTCCTTCTTTCCCTTTTTCTTTCCTTCTCTCCTTCCTTCCTTCCTTCTCTAACTTTCTTTCCTTCCCCCTTTTTCTTTCACTCCTTCTTTCTCTCCTTTCTTCCTTCTCTCCCTCTTTCCTTCCTTCTTTCCCTTTTTCTTTCCTTCTCTCCTTCCTTCCTTCTCTCTTTCTTTCCTTCCTTCCCCCTTTTTCTTTCACTCCTTCTTTCACTACTTTCTCCCTCTTTCCCTCCTTCTTTCCCTTTTTCTTTCCTTCTCTCCTTCCTTCCTTCTCTAACTTTCTTTCCTTCCCCCTTTTTCTTTCACTCCTTCTTTCTCTCCTTTCTTCCTTCTCTCCCTCTTTCCTTCCTTCTTTCCCTTTTTCTTTCCTTCTCTCCTTCCTTCCTTCCTTCTCTAACTTTCTTTCCTTCCCCCTTTTTCTTTCACTCCTTCTTTCTCTCCTTTCTTCCTTCTCTCCCTCTTTCCTTCCTTCTTTCCCTTTTTCTTTCCTTCTCTCCTTCCTTCCTTCTCTCTTTCTTTCCTTCCTTCCCCCTTTTTCTTTCACTCCTTCTTTCTCTTTTTCCTTCTCTCCCTCTTTCCTCTTCTTCCCTTTTTTTCCTTCTCTCCTTCCTTCTTCTCTACTTTCTTTTCCTTCCTCCTTTTCTTTCCTTCTCTCTTCTCCCCTTCCTTCGCTCCCTCTTTCCTTCCTTCTTTCCCTTTTTCTTTCCTTCTCTCCTTCCTTCCTTCTCTAACTTTCTTTCCTTCCCCCTTTTTCTTTCACTCCTTCTTTCTCTCCTTTCTTCCTTCTCTCCCTCTTTCCTTCCTTCTTTCCCTTTTTCTTTCCTTCTCTCCTTCCTTCCTTCCTTCTCTAACTTTCTTTCCTTCCCCCTTTTTCTTTCACTCCTTCTTTCTCTCCTTTCTTCCTTCTCTCCCTCTTTCCTTCCTTCTTTCCCTTTTTCTTTCCTTCTCTCCTTCCTTCCTTCTCTAACTTTCTTTCCTTCCCCCTTTTTCTTTCTTCTTCTTTCTCTCCTTTTTTCCTTCTCTACCTCTTTCCTTCCTTCTTTCCCTTTTTCTTTCCTTCTCCCTTCCTTCCTTCTCTCTTCTTCCTTCCCCTTTTTCTTTCCTCCTTCCTTCTCTCTTTCTTCCTTCTCTCCTTTCCTCCTTCTTCTCTTTTTCTTTCTTCCTTCTTCTCTATCTCTTTCCTTCCTTCCCCCTTTTTCTTTCACTCCCTTTCTCTCCTTTCTTCCTTCTTTCCCTTTTTCTTTCATTCTCTCCTTCCTTCTTCTCTATCTCTTTCCTTCCTTCCCCCTTTTTCTTTCACTCCCTTTCTCTCCTTTCTTCCTTCTTTTCCTTTTTCTTTCCTTCTCTCCTTCCTTCCTTCTCTAATTTTCCTTCCTTCCCCCTTTTTTCTTTCACTCCCTCTTTCTCTCCTTTCTTCCTTCTCTACCCCTTTCCTTCCTTCTCTCTTTGCTTCCATGCTTCCTTCTCCCTTTCCTTTCCCTCTTTGTTTTCTCCCCTTCCCTCCCTCTTTCTCCCTTTTTCTGTATTGTCATTTAACTTTTTGAGGCTTTTTAAGTTCCTTCTGCTGTGTTTTTCAGTGTTTTTATGAGTGAAGAACATGAATTGGGTTGTTAGGTGCCTTGTGTCCAAATTTGGTGTCAATTCATCCAGTGGTTTTTGAGTTCTGTTAATCCCACATACGAACATTACATTTTTATTTATATAGATTAAACACTAGCTGTCCCCTGCCAGGCGTTGCTGTGGCCCAGTCTGCTGATCTGGGAAATAAAGTAATGAGAAAGTGTTGGTTTCTAATATATGTAATTTCTTTATGTTTGTGGGTAAACAGGATTTCTTGCTGTTTCTTTGTCAGTGTTGATGTGGAGAGTGTCTGGTTTGCCCACCCTGGAACATGCAACATATCATTGTCTTTCTTTAAGGGTCCCCTTCAAATCGAGGATACTATATCTCTTTGTCTGTGAATCATATCTATCTATCTATACCTATGGCTGGATGGCTCTCTGTCAGGAGGGCTCTGATTACATTTTCTTGCTCTGGTGAAGAGAGTTGGACTGGATGGCCTTAAGTATTTTCTGTTGGTTATGGGGGGTTCTGTGTGAGAAGTTTAGCCCAATTCTGTCATTGGTGGGGTTCAGAACACTCTTTGATTGTAGGTGAACTATAAATCCCAGTAACTACAATTCCCAAATGTCAAGGTCTATTTTCCCCAAACTCCACCTGTGTGCATATTTGGGCATATGGAGTATCCGTGCCAAGTTTGGTCCAGATCCATCATTGTTTGAGTCCACAGTGCTCTCTGGATGTAGGTGAACTACAACTCCCAAACTCAAGGTCAATGCCCACCAAACCCTTCTCATGTTTTCTGTTGGTCATGGGAGTTCTGTATGTTAAGTTTGGTACAATTCCATCGTTGATGGAGTTCGGAATGCTCTTTGATTGTAGGTGAACTACAAATCCCAGCAACTGCGACTCCCAAATGTCAAAATCATAATGTTTTGAGTGATGGTCACTCCTTGTGTTGTGAGATGTTTTGTTGCCAAATTTGGTGTGATTTCGTTCATTGCTTTTTTTGTTTTTAAGGTACTCATTACGCACAGAGCATTTTATATCTATCTATCTATCTATCTATCTATCTATCTATCTATCTATCTATCTATCTATCTATCTATGCAGCTCTCCTATA